TACAAGCTTTGAAGACCTTCCGACCTTTGTGCATATAGTTGTATGAATGTGAAATTAGTTGTTTATCAATGTAAAGAATGATTTGATATATTTCGAGTCGACTACTAGGTTGAGTGTATGTCTTTTAAACACACGAGTATTGTGAGTTTGGGAGGGCATTGTTCACATTAAAGGGGTTGGATGGAGAGTGATCGGATACATTTTATATCCGCCACATAAAAGAGTTAAGAGTGCGTGAGCGCTAGTCTTGAATTCCATATACACTTGTGGTTTGCTCTATTTGACAATTGTTAGGGAGGATGAGTAGTTGGATGGATTTGATTGGTTGATTTTGATGCATATTTGTTAGATTTGCCTTGAATTGGTTGTGTTTGGTTTTAATTGATCTTTGGGGTGAAGTATGTTTTGTTTGTTCATTGATGAGCTCTTTGCTTTGGGACAAGCAAAGGCAGGCCCGTTTCTAAGGTTTTAGTGGCCTAGGTTGAACATATAATTTGGGGCCTATATAATAAGCATTATAAAAAATTTTGAGTTTGAACTTTGAAGGGTATGCAAAATGAAAGAATAACAAGAATAACAACTTCAATGTTAACTCCATTGTAACATATCGAATCTGAAGAAAATGTACTTCGTATAACAGTATTAGTGATTGATAATTAAGTTGTTAATTAGTAGCGAAATTCTCTTACCCAAAAAAAAAAATCATTATTTCTTTCGATTAATTACTCCGTAACATTTAGTCTTAAACAGTAGGGAAAATGTTAAATCACTTGTTCCCTGAAGTGGCTTACAAAACCTATTAAAGTCATTGTTTCCATTCATCTCCGCATAAAAAAAAAATATATATATATATATAATAATAATAATAATAATAATAATAATAATAATAATTAAAACTACTCTTTTGATGAAAATAAAACAAAAAAATCCTCTTAATTTATTCCTTGAATTAGTTTACAAAACTTAAACAGTCGAGCACAAAATATACTTCATAATAATTTCTTTCAAAAAAAATTGCAAATTTAAAAATTCATATTGGAAAGAAATTATAAAGATTGAACCCTAACCTTTCATAATTGAACAACGTCAAAGCGATTCGGTGAAAAGAGAAAAGTTTTTTTTACTCAAATTACAGTTCGTCAAACAGAACCCCTCAAAAATCAAGAAATTAAGTAGTTATAAAAAATAAGAATAAGCAAATTAAATTGTTTTGATTAAGGATGTAGCAATAAATAAAATTCGTTTAGGAGAACCTAAATGCCGGGAGCAATTACCAAGGGATTGAAGCGTTTATTTAGGAGCGAATATCAAGGAATCGAAGCGTTTATTATGTAAGGGAAATCCTCAAACTGCATACAGCCGCGGGCCCACAGTTTTAGTTTTTCTTTTAATACAGTAAAATTTTGAGGCCCTGATTTTAACGAAAGTTGAGCTTAACAATTTTGGGCCTAGGGCAGTTGCCCCACCTGCCCTACCCTTGCTACGGGCCTGAGCAAAGGTTTGGCTTAGGGGAGTTTGATATGTTGATTTTATATAGTGATTTACCCCCGTCCCTTGGTCATTTTTAGGAATATTATTGGCTCTTTGGAGCCACTTTTATTACTAATATGCATTTTCTAGTGTTTTCGTAGTTTTGATACTGTTTTATAGGAAATTGCAGATTTGGAGCATTTTCCCGGACTTATGATAAGCCACTACGAGCATTGGAGAATTATGACCATATTTCGTAGCCCAAGACCGGTTGGAGTCGTCAAATCGGTGATTAAGGGCTCGGCAAAGAAGAGATCGAGGCAATGGACCAAGTATTCAAGACCCAAGAGGAAATTCGGAATTGGGCCAAGAGAAATAGCCTAAAAGTGAAAAGGTCCATGCTTGCCCGGGAGCTCGCCCGACCGGGTGGGTGCCTCGCCTTAAGGTGCGCCCGGCCGGGCGAGGTAGAAGGAAGAAAGAGCCCTTCGCCCTGTCTCGCGCCCGACCGAGCGCAAGTGAAGATTCAAGGCTTAAAAAGGCGGGCCCGGCCGGGCAAAGCTCTGCCCGATCGGGCGCGTGTTTCTGAGAGTGTTTTGACGATTTAATTTATTGTTTTTATTTAGGATTTTTTTAGTTGTAGTATAAATACGTTTTTAGCAAGTAACGAAAACGATTATCCTCATTAGTTAATCTCTAGATTTTAGTTTTAAGTTTTGGTGAATATTCTTGTTTTCTCTCTACAATTTTGATTTATACAATTCATCATTTCCGTTTATTTTGGTAACGATTTCTTTCCTTTTTATTTTCAGTAATTTAATTGCTTTGATTAATTATGTCTTGCTTAATTGCTTTGATTAGTTTAGATTTAATTATGTGTGAGTAGTTTAATTCTAGGGTTTGTGGGGATCCATAAATAATATGAAGGGGTAGTTTATTATTGTTGATTGTCAATGCTTGATTGATTTCCTATTGATTAATTTAATGCTATGCAATTAGCTAGATTAGGCCTGGTTTAATTGTATGAGTTATGCAATATTGATTCGAGATTCGAAAGATGAGAATTGATGTTTAGGCTTAGTTTCAATAGGCAGGTTAATTTATAAATGGTTAAGTCAAGATTCGAGAGGGCGATTTAATACCGGTACATTAATTCTGTGATTGTAATACGTAGCGAAAGCCCTTTATGATCCGGTTAATTGATGCATTGATGATTGATTGTTGTGTTTTACCCTGGAATATTATTTATTGGTGAACCTATGCCCTAGGCTTTTTATTATTGATTTCCTCCTTTATTCAACTTGTTTTTAGTTTAATTATTTCCCTTAGATAAATTCATATAAAACCCTATTTGTTCCTTGATAATTTAGATTATATTAATTGATTAGGAATAGAAAGACTTGTTTACCTGTGGATTCGACCCTACTTCCCTATATATTTTAGTTAGTGATTTTAGGAATTACTTTTGATTAGGTGATACGACTTTAGCCTGTCAATGACCTTAGAGGCTTAGACCTTAAAGAGACATATTTCAACACGCGAATTGAGGAAAAAAAATTTAATGCCTGATCGCTAATGGAACCCTAATGGAAACAGTTAAGTGGTAACAAAATCCTTTTTTTTTTTTTTGTGTGTGTTTTTGGTGGTAGTAAAATAAATTAAAAATTTAAATAAGTAGCAAAAACCAAAATAGTGCTTTTTAGTGGTAGTAACAGTCAAATTTTCCATTTATTTATGAAATTGCCACATAATTTGCATTATTTTGGGCAAAATTAGCTTCAACACCATTTGGGTGCACCCAACACACCAAACTTTTACTAGTCGTTGACACACCACCAACTATTAATTGGGGTGTAACACGTGCCACTAATGGATTTGACACTCAAAATGAGACAATTATGGTAATTAAAGGATAATTAATGGCGTCCGTCGTACCCTAATCAATAATTGGGGGTGTGCAAGTGACTAGTGAAAATTCGAGATAGTAGGTACACTCTAGAACCCCACCTTCTCACCATTCACCAATTGATACCCCCTTCAATTTCATCAACCCCCCTCCTCACCACAACCCCCACCAACAACATCATCTTCATCACTGTCATAATCTCGAAGGCGATCCTCGAGATAGGTGGTGGGGAAAGGGAGGGGAAGGTGTTGTCGCTGCTGTTTCAATGGAGGTGGAGGGTAAGGGGTTGTTGTCCGAATTCATTGGAGGTGAAGGGGAAAGGGGCAAATTTAATGGAAGGGGAAGGGAAAGGGAAGGGAAAAGAAAAGAAGAAAGGAAAAAAAAAATGAATTTCTTTTAAATGTAAAATATATCGGATGAATCAGAATGTGACACGTGACTAGATATTATATAAGTAGGTTGGTAGGGTTTTCCCTCTAAGTTTCTCCTTGGGAGGGTGTTTCTCCTTGGGAGGGTGTTTTTCCTAGGGTTTTTCCAGTTTTTTTAGGATTTTCTTTCAATCTTCTCCTATTCTCCCTTTTTCCTCCTTCATCCTTCTCTTCATGATTTATTGTGATTATTGGTAGGGTTTACCACTGGTTCCTTGATCAGTGGTAAGCCCCAAAATCCCTTTTTAAACGAATACATCCCATCCTTACGATGGTCTTGATCGGTGTAGATGATTTCTCTTTTGTCATCAGAAGTTCTAATTTTTTGGTGGTGATTCGTGCGACGTTGAATCAAATGTCAGATCAACGACTACAATTAATGAATCAGGTTTTATTCAATTAAAAAATTATCAAAAATCGCAAGGCCCCCTTGTAGAAGAAGGTTGCAGAGGACAGCGATTCAAGAGACGAGGGTATTCATCAATGTCAAATCTCACTCGCGATCGTAGTTCTACAAAATTAGAATTGTTATTTGATTCAATTTTCATTGTATTCATCGTTTCTGATCTCTTTTGTAGATGCCGTATGGCTTTATTAATAAATTGATCTTCCCTTCAAAAAAAAAAAGTATGTTGGTAAGTGGCTTTGCTCAATAAAAGTGGAGATCCCCCAAAAATTGGATCCAAAAGTTGAATTATTAGATTTAAACGGGACAAATGTTGGATTATTTAATTTAATTTTTCCTTTTTTTCTTTCTTTTTTATTTGAGTAGGGCTTGAACTTCTTATCCTCAATGAAAAAAAAAAAAAAAACTCCATTTTCATGAATGAGTGAATCCATTGAGATTGTTAAAAAAAAGTTGAATCCATTGAGGGATATATGTGTCAAACGACCCTTAAAAAATTTGATTGATTTCCATTAATTCCTTATATAAGTCGGTTTAAAAACTATTTCCCACAATAACGTCCACTTAGGATCGGTTCCCAGATTTGGAATTTCGCAGTATAAATCCGCTAACAATGTTACCGGTTCTATATATAGAACCGCTAATACCATTAGAGATTCCAATACTATTAGCGGTTCTAAGTTGAAACTACCTCGTTTACTTTAGCTTTCACAACCAATAGAGGTTCTATGCATAGAACCTCTAATACCAATAGAGGTTCTATATTAGCTAAAACCGCCAACAATATTAGCGGTTTTATACTTACAAATACCGAACCTTCAAACCGAGCCTGCGTGGACGGTATCGTGGAAAATAATTTTTACACCAATGTATATAAAGAATTAGTTTGTGTTATTACATTATTTTGGGAAATCACTCTTAAAATTTCCATTGATAAACACCCAAAAAAAAAAACCAAATAAAAATATTTTTTTTTAAAATTTTTAAAAAGAAAATAAAAAAGAAAAAAGAAGGGTGTGAAAATTACAGTGGATGTGGCTTCTCTCGATCCTGAACCTCAACTCAATGTCCAATCCTCTCATCTTCTCCCTTAACACCTCCTCCATGTCTCCCTTTCTCAAACCCTAATTCCCTTTCTCTTCTCTCTCCTCCGCAACTCATTCATCTTCAATCATTGTCGGCTTCACATATTTTCATTCGATTTCTTTGTAAGTTCTTCACATAAATCTTTTTGTTCACTACAAATTATTGTTTTTTTTAGTTTTAATTTTTCTGGGTATTTGATGATTTTGTAATTAGGTTTTTGATTTTCAATTTTTGTTCAGAAAAAATCAAAATTTTGGTGTGAAATGCTACACTGTGGAATGTTTTAGAATTGGTGGCAATGGCGGCTGATCAACGGAAAAGACGATTGAGTTCTACTAATACTGCGTTTGGTTATGGGGTTCAGGAACAGTATAATAGGGCAAAAAAGAGGGATTTGAGATCGCCTAAATATGATTTTAATTTTAACACTCATGTATCCCTTAAATGGGATGATAATGGGAAGAGGGTTGTTGCGAAAGAGGATCAAATTGGGATTTCTTGGAGGCATTTGAGCCCTTTTAATCCTTCTGCGCCTTGTAGTAATACTAAGTTGGCCGATGTCGTTGTCGTTCCGAAGGATGTGTTTGAGTTGAATGATTTGGCTGAAGTTCTATCATATGAGGTGATTGTTATTACTGAGTGTTAAAGTTTGGTTCTTTTGAGCTGTTTGTTTAGGGAGATTGGGATTACGAGGGTCTGTAAGGGAAATGTCTTTTTCGGATTAGTAATCCCTATCCCCACTAAACAACCGCCCATTGTGTTTGTTTTTGTTATTGTTATGAGGTGATCGTTATTTTCTTTTTTAAAGATAGTTTCGAGTCGTAAAAGGTTGTTCTATGTGGTATTTGGTGTGTGTTGATTATATTGTCGAAATTGCAGGTTTGGCAATCTATTTTAACAGAAAAGGAGAGAAATTTCCTTATGCAATTCCTTCCTCCCGGAGTTGAAGCTGATAAAGCTGTGCAATCTTTGCTTTCCGGTGACAACTTCTGTTTTGGGAACCCTTTTAAAAAATGGTGAGATTATGGTTGTTGCTTCTTGTTGTTGTCCTTGCCTTGCACAATTAGCTATCATTGATCACCTTGTGTAACTTGTTAGAGCCTGATAAATTTAGATGAATGTGTTAGGAAAGAAATTCAGATGGAAATGAGGGTTATTTGGTTAATCACTAGGGTAAGGAAGGGAATAGATAAAGAGAAATGAAAGGAAAGTAAACAAAGCTCCAAAATTCTTGATTTGTTTGGGCATATACAAACATTTCCCAACCTCTGTCTTCTTCTACCTTGAAACGTCTAACCATTGCATCTCCTCCTTGAGCACACCACATGCCATACCATGACATATCCCTAGCTTCCCAAACATCACAGCAACAATTTAGCTGGCATGAGGATATCTCAAGCACCGTGAGCTCAATCTGACAAGTACAAGCTCAATGTCGGCTTTGTAGATCCAAAACCTCAAAGTTGCACGAGATCGCCTTTGTTACGGACATGTTTTCAATCTTTCAATATTTTTTATTTGGTGGTGGTTGGGTGTGGTCGTGAGCAAGGTGGTGACATAATGAGTTTTGGAGCTTATGGGTACAGTGTTTTGATCTCTGAGAGGGGTAGGAACTGGTAGAGGTTGTTGGTGGTGGTGGTCCTGTTGTGGTGGGAGTGAGATGGGGACGGCTAAGTTGGCAGTGGCAAGCTGGCGGTGGTGAGCTGCGGTGCTGTGCAGACATGATTAGGTTTTGAGTTATCCAAGTCACAAAGGGGGGCAGGAAATCCTGAAATGGGCAACTGGTAACGGGAAGGGAAAATTGAATAAAAGACTAACTAGACTAACTAGGCTTTCACTAAAGGAAAGAGGGGTTGAAATTGCATTTCTCTTTCTATGCTCCCCTCAATTAAACAGACTGTGAGATCATAAGAAAGGGGTAAAGCTCCGGTGGCAGTAAGTGCTTTGCAGTAATTGCTTTTGTGTTTCCATCTATCACAAGTGAGCTCTTTATGTGAGGTTTTTCAAGAATAGGTTGCCTTTCATTGTTGGACTATTTCTGTTTTGAAATAGTCTACATGCGGTCTTCAGTGGGCTGCTTTTTCTGATTGTCTTGGCTTCATGGGTCAAAACTATGTAGGACTTTCCTAAGCCCTTATGTGACTTCCATATTGGGGTGCTGCTATTGTTGAGGGTTTTTCTTTTTCTTTTTTTTTTTTTTTTTATAATTTTTTATAATTTTTTTATTATGTTTTTATTGTTAATACTTCACATTATAATTTGGCTATAGAGGAATTTATGCAACTTAATATATGCAGGGGCACCTCACTTTGCTCTGGTGATCTTCACCCTGATACAATTCTTCAACATGAGAAGTTCTTTAAGACTAATAAAAAAGCATATTATTCCGAGCTGCAACAATATCATGACAAGTATTTCCCTAATATGCTTTCTTCTTTTATTTCCCTTTAAAAGTTTTGCATGTTAGTGATTGTGATTTATGGATTGTTTTGCAATTTATGGCAGCATGATAAGGAATTTGCAACACATGAAGCAGAGATGTGCAAGCTCAAAGGATCCTGAAGCTGAAATTCAACAGATAATGTCTAGGTTGGTTGTTCTATCTGTTTGTGCTATCTATTATAAAGCAGTCTTGTCTCTCCCATGGCTCTAAAAATAATGGATTCTAAGAATTTTTACTGGTTTCAATTTTGATTTGGTAGATCTGATTGCTAATGACCCTTATTTTTTCCATTAATAATGTGGAGATAGTTACTTTCTAGGGGTTACTGTAAGCTATGTTACTTAGACGTTATGTTTCGTGGTGGATCTTTGACATGGGTATGGATGCCCAACATTTCATTTTGATCCAAAATCTGGGATAAGTTTCATAAAAAAATAATGAATTTCGATTCTTGGACTGAATAACATAGGTGCTAAGGCTGTGCTATGATCATGTGTTGCCTATCTTTTATGAGTGTGAGCCATTTGACTATTCTAGAGATATTGGGTTAATATTTGAGTAAAGAGAACATATACAGTGATCTTTTGGTCTAGGTTTGTGATAAGTTTATGATGAATTAGTAGGTTAGACTGTTAGATTCAACATATAGTTAGAGAAAGCTTATTTTGTATTTCATTGATGGTGTTTAAGGACATATTCGTAGGGTGTAAAATGGATGTTTTGCATTTTATTAGAAATATACTCTCTACTTCTAGTTTACCCAAGATAATGGCTTATGATGGAATAACTCTCTTAGGTATCCCTTGAGACTAGGGCCATTATACACGATGCTTTAAATCTATGAAACATTAGCTGCCATAGCATCAATTTCTCTTTTTTTGGAATATATTTTCTACTGTGCTTGAGTAGGCTGAGACTGGGTTTGTCCAGCTAAGTTTGGATTTTTTTGTCCAGTCAAAAGTTTGCTAATTTGGTTGGAAATTGAGCAAAAAGTGTTATTGGAACTGCATGATGTTTGATGTTATTGCTTAGAGCTCTGCTGTCTGCTAATCTGATATGGAGTGGATTGGGTTTTCTTGATATTTTCATCCTTTTCCAATTTCATACTACCTGAATCATTGGATATATAGTCACAGTTTGTTGTAATTCTGTGGAGACAACACTGGTCATTCTTGTGCATCTACAACTGCCCTGGAATCTTGTGGGATGTGATTGTATGAGGTGAAAGCCGTGTCAATAAATGATGGAGAATGAGTTAATGTGATAAAATAGAAGTAATTTTTTTAGAGATCTGTAGTTAAGAGCCTGGAACCATTCTTGATATATTGAAACTATGAAAAAAATTGATGTGGCTATGATTTTTGTTATCAGTGGTTAAATTGGCTATTTGGTTCATGAATTTTGATTGTTTTTCTCTTGCGATGTGTGTGTGTGTGTGTTTTTTTTTTACCCCTTTTCCGTGATTGTTTGCTATGCATTTATACTTCTACGTGGCTCTTAGATATTAGCTTGTTGTATGTGCTAAAGTTGTGCAATCTGCTTATTTGTTGCAATTGTATATTGAATTTTTTTAAAGTTGTATTATCATACTATGTTCTGCTATGAGTTCTTGTTAGGAACTTGTGTTAAAATGTGCGATTAATGCATATGCACAAATAACTTGACAGGCTTTTGCGAGTTATCATTTGATGTGTTATATTGTATCCAAGCTGACTGATCTAAATTTACTCTGAAATTTGAAGATACTGATAATCATAACTGTTAATATTATCATTGTTTGATGTTGTTATTATTGAATTGTAATTAGTGCCTAATAAAAAACAATAAGCACCACCACCACCACTATTATTACTACTAACAAATATATTAGCAAAGAAAATTAGTATGACAATATGTTTATTGGACTTGTCAAAAGTATTTGGACTTGAATGTGGTGTTTGACATGGATATGTCTAGTTTTTTACCGGAAGGATTTGAGCAACATAACTTGTACCAGTAGTTTTAGCTTGTCTTAGTATGTTAGTGCAAAAGGACTTGCTACTACTACCTCCCTCTGTTCTCTGTTGACAAAGAAAGGAGGGAGTTAGTGGTAAGTGAGTCCCTTTTTTATTTTCACATTTTGGTTAGGAAAGAGTTTTTTTTTAAAACATGTGAATTAGAGCAAAAGTAGGAAATCAATGTGGATGAATGGATCATAGGAGGATCAATGGAGAACAAAGAGATTACAAATGAATACTTTAAAATATCAGCTTACATACATTGTGTATTATTGATCACCACATTTCTATTGCTGTAAGTGCATAACAATTACAGTGGTAATCTTTATAGTAACAGTAACGCCCTAAAAAAAAAACCAGTAACAATTGGATCAATGTTGATACATGAATCTGTGATTTTTTAACGCAATCTGACATGAACTTTGGTGTTATCTCATCTGATGTGATCTGTATTTTATCTGTTTTGCTCTGAAAAAAAACTATTAAGTACTTGAAATAAGATGAACTGAACAAACTGTTATTCCTCCTTGGACAGTATAGAACCATATGTGCAGCTTATGAAGAATAAGAATTATCTAACGTGAATAAATGAACTTGTTTTTTTTCTTTCCCAAACTCCTATTATGTCATCACTGGTTGGTTTCTGAGTGTATGTATTTTTATTTCCTGAACAGACCACAAAGGTATGAGCAGGGCATGCTGCATGATGTGAATGGACACAAATTTCACAAAGCCGATGAGAATGTTGCTGCTATGTCTGAATCTCGGTCTTCAATTGCAGATGAGAAAATATATTATAGTGACAACCAAAAGTTGTCTGTTATTAGAGACGCTGAAATGCAGAAGAGGTAAGCTTATAGTTCTGCTCTATCATTGATATCCCATTATCTTCTGTATTGTGTTTGACTATAGTTAATGTTATGCTCATTGCTATTTGCTTTCATTTCTGACCTTATTTTTGTATATTAAACAGCTGTTCAATGCTTTCTGTTTGGGAATTTAACAGAACCCATCCTTGAGGCCTTGAATGGCACCTCTATTCTCTCAACTATCTTTTAACTTATAACTAACTTTAATCCCAAAGTACCCTTCCACATCTAAAAAGTCACCCCTTGACAGTCTGTTATGTCCTAGTATGCTTTTACTTAAGTTTCCATGAAGTCCTAGTATACCTAAAGTAATATCTCGAGTCTTGACAAAGACTCATTCCGAGCCGTTGCATAATATATCAGTCAAGGGTGGTTATCTGAATAAGGTCCCTGATTACCCACTTAGCTGTATATTTTATTACAATTGAATTATTTTTTTGTTTTTTTTTTCCACTCATCTGTGTAAGAAGCTCATCATTAACTCACTAAGCATCTTTTTTGCAATATAGGATGCTGTTACTATAAAACTAGAGTTAGAGAGGTACAATGTGAAAGATCTCTTTTCCAAAAACACTCAAACCATACCATATATGAACCATTTTTTCACTTCTCGATTTAAATAGGGAGATCTGAATGTGGAAATTTGTAGCTCTAAATTCTATTAGGGGTACTAATAGGCATGGTGGATAGAGGTTGTTGATCGTGCTGATGGGGTTGGTTGAGGCTAGTGCATGACAGTTATATTAGTTGATTAGGAAAGTATGCAGTGAGCCAGAAGGTAGTGAAGAGCAATAAATAGAGCAATAACATACCCCCTCTGTTCTGTATAGCTTGTGTGGTTTAGTAGTCCATAGGACCCACACTTATTAACATTAATTCAATAGAAATATGAGAATCTAACTTGATTCATTGTGTTTATCTGGAGCAATCCACTTATTACATAATTGAAATTCACAGTATTGAAGGGCATAACATTAGGAGAACAAAATATTTGGAACTTTGTTAAAAGGATTTATTAGCGAATGGTTGGAAAGACTTAGAAAAATGCTTTGGGTATGTGAAAACCTTGAGAAATTTGTGAGGCTCATATAATGTGTCATGTTGTAAGTGGTTCTGGTGTAATCAGTTACAATCTGTGAATTGTTAATGCTGTTAAGTACCATTGTTTCTTCTTGCTTCCTCAGTTTTCTTATTGGTCTTGGTCTTGATAAATATTAATTGAACTTTTTATAACCTTCTTTCCACCTCTATGTTGCAAATTTTACCTTCAGTCATAGTCATTATAAGATAATGATATCTGTTTCCATTCCACGTTTTTATTTTAAAAAAACTTATTTTGAAAGGTAACGTGTCTTGCTTATATATTACTACCTTCATTCCTTAATGTCTGTAACACTTTACCTTTTACGCTTGTCAATGCAAATCGTTAATCGTTACTACCTTAATAACAACAACAACAACAACAACAACAGGGCCTTATATAAGCTGAATATGCTCTGCTCTGCCTGTAGAAGCTCAAAAGAACAGGGCCTTATATAAGCTGTAAACACCCCAGCTTTCTGGGAGTATCTTGAAGTGACAAACAAAAATATTTATCCTGTAATTTAATGCATTTTCTCCTGAACTGACAGAAAACTGGTACTGGAAATGTCTAAAGTTCCTAAAGGAATCTCTGTGCACTGTATTTTTTTTGATAAGACAACTGTATTTTTTATGTATAAAATAGAAAAAAGAAGGGCCGCAGAACACATATATCATCATACTAACTTTGGGCTATCATTTAAGTAAATAATAATTTTTCTGTTATTGGAGAAAGGGTTCCTATGGCTTTGCATATTTTCTTCTAGTCTCTGTTGGGGTCAGTTCATTTCTCTTTGGTAAATATTTACAGATGCTGAAATGTTCATGTTGCAATTTTTGATCCACCCTTGCATTAGTACACCAAATTTTGCATGTTTAACATCCACAGACATGTTTGAAGCATTTCTAATCGTGTGAAGTTGTGATAAAATTTATTTGTATGTTTTAGTCAGGTCTTGTTGGATTTTGTCAGGGAGATTGGCTGTCTTTTGTTTTGCATGTATGGCATTGGGTGAAAGTGGGTTGACATTTTTCTCTCCACTCTTTCTTCTTTACTGTCTTTGCCGTGTCTATGTCCATTCATACGGACCTGTCACATCTTTGCAATGACCTCATCAATAGTTTACCTCTTTTTGATGTTTAGGAATTATAATTAGATTGCTTGTATTACAGGATGCGCAATCAGGACCTTATGAAGGACAAACATGAGAAGATGATGGTGCCTCCTAATGCTTTGTCAAAACCTAAGAAAGCAGAAAAATCGCAAAAGCCCCACTTGATCCCCAATGATGGTGCCAAATATATGTCTTATGTGAAGGTATAACTCTGTCATTTCTGCAAATTTCATATGTTACATTAGAATGTGACTTCATTGTTCTGCTGAACAGGGCTCTTTTGTATTAATTTTCTGCCCTATATGGTGAAACTTTTCGTACTGTGAGCATTGATAAATGCTAAGGCATTATATAACAGGCTTATGTGATGAATAACATGATCAGGAAACTTCTACAAAGGTCATCTTTTGAGCTATAGACTATGTGCTAATAACATGTAAACTCGAATAGCAAATGGCTAGGGGAAAACGTCAAATATTTATTTATTTTTGTGTGTGAATTTACAAGAGAATGGCCTTTTCTTCATCTTGCTTATTTCTCTTTTCTCTACTGAATTGTTGGGTCGTTACTCATATCTTAACAAGCTCTCCCTTCTCTTTGGATAGAATTTGTTCCTCGATACTTATTTATCTCGCAGTTGTTCAAGTCAGCTGTAGGTAGACCTGGCAATCTTGACCCGACCCGTGACCCGAAAACGTAAACCCGAAACTGACCCGACCCAAAGTTGACCCAATACCCGAAGCAACCCGACCCGATCTTGACCCGAATCGATTGACTCGAACGGACCCGAAACTCGAAGCGATCTGAACTATACCCGAAATGACCCGACCCAAAATTAACTAATACTCAAAATGACCTAACTGATTTAGGGCTAATTACTTTACCCGAATAAACACTTATCGAAAATAACCTAAACATTATATTCTTATGTGTATAGTGCTGTTAGAATGTGTGTGGAATTTAGTACTCGTAATTCAGAAAGAGTTCCACTTGATTAGGAACACTTGTTATTGTTATTATTACTATTACTCTTAACTTAACTATTACTCTTAACTTCTTCTTTTAAGTGTTACTCCCTGAATACCCGACACATTTTCCATTTTTGTTCGTCCTAAAATACTTGACTCGTTACTAAATATGGAATGGGACCACTAATAAAAAATTATTTTCCTTCACTCTCCTTGGGACCACAAACCCAAAACCCAATTAAATCCTACATTTTCTCTCTCCTCACTACATATAATAAACAAATGTTTTTAATGAATCCACTTATAGTTTTCTTAAACTATGTGTCTACCCTAACGTCCCAAGTATTTTGGGACGGAGGGAGTACATTGAATTGTTTTTCCACTATTCACTTTATCTAATTTGAATTTATGACCAATTAATCAATGATAGTGATCATACATATGAAACAATAGAGTCTTGTGTGTATAGTATTGTTGGAATTGTCTAATTAATATTTAATTGTTATACTTTATACTTATTGATAATGATAATATATTATTGGTCAAATTTCTACATTGACTTAAACAAAGATTGACCCGACCTGACTCGAATTACCATTGACCCGAACCTGACCCGAACTGACCCATATCCGACCCGAACGACCCGTTTGCCAGGTCTAGCTGTAGGTGTTACACTTTTTGCATCGGCTGTATGATCGTAGAATATTCACCTGTGCTCCTAAGATATGTATACGTATTTCATTATCAGGGAATTGAACAACTGTCATTGTTTGTCTTTCAGATTAGCAAGAAGCAGCATGAACTTGTTAAGAGTATGAGGCAGTCTGGTGCTAGTATTCAATCCAAGGCTCTTAATCGTTTGCTAGGTGGCCTTGATAGTTCCAATGTAAAACCATATGAGATGTTTGTGGAAGAAGAGCAGAAGCGAATCCATGAGTACTGGTATGTTGCTGTGTTATCTGTCCTATACTGCTGCTTTATTGTAAAATCCAACCAAATTCTGACAATCTTTCCTATCTAGGTTAAATCTGGCAAATAAAGATCTTCCAACTGCTTTACAAAGCTGGAGAAATAGACAACTAGAGAAGAGGAAAATTATGGATTCTTTATGGCTAGAAATGAAAGAGAAACTGGGGGTACAATCTAAGGTTCGTTTCCATAATTTTGCATCTTTATTTGGGGTTTACATTGCTCCACTCTGCACTGTCTGCTCCTGATTGTTATATTTGTGGTTTTTGGCTTTCACATCCTTTTAACATCTGGCCTGTGTTTTATCGAATCAGGATGAGAATTTAGCTAATCCTTACGATGAGGATCCTGCTCAAGATGAGGATGGGGAAACTTTTCAAGAGACTTCAGAGGACCACCAACATGATGAGTCAGCGACTCAGCATTCTATGTCAGATGATAACAATGAGGCCTCTAATCCATGCTCTATAAAGGATGGGTCTCCATTGCATAATCCTCCTTCAAATGTCAACGAAGAGTTTGATCCATCCTCTTCCATGGACACTCAATCATTGCAGAATCCTCCTGTAAATGTTAAAGAAGAGATTGATCCATCTGTGGAGACTCAATCATTGCAGAATCCCCCTCTAAATGTTAAAGAAGAGATTGATCCATCTTCTGCGGAGACTAAATCATTGCAGAATCCTCCTCTAAATGTTAATGAACAGAGTGATCCATCTGCTTCCATGGAGGCTCAATCATTGCAGAATCCTCCACTAAATGTCAATAAACAGTTTGATCCTTCTGTCTCTATGGAGGATAAACCTTTGCAGCAGCGTCCTTTAAATGTCAACGAGGACCTTGATCCATCCTGGATGAAGAATCAATCTTTGCTGAATCCTACTTTAAAAGCCAAGGAGTGTTTTGATCCGTCTTCAGTAGAGAATAAATCTTCATCGGAGGATTCTCCTTTAAACAACAATGAGTATTATACTCCTATGGATTTGAATGCAGAAAATAATTCTGTTGCTTCTGGAACAAATGACACACGTTCCATGCCTCGTGTTGCTCAGCCATCTGAAGCACCTTTCACCATATTAAACCTTGACACTCATAACAATTCTGCTACTGGTTCAAACGCTGGGGAAATCCCTGGCTCATCACTCAAGAACATGTGGTCTTCAATCGGATTGCCTGAATCTTATCATGCTCATCCAACTAGTTTGCATGCTAGTTCTGGTGGACTCACTACTCTACATGCTAGCTCTGGTGGGCTCACTACTCTACATGCTAGCTCTGGTGGGCTCTGTCTTAGGCATCCAGAAGTAGTTGCAGGTCAGCCAACCCATTTGATTGATCTGGAATCTGCAATGCCTGAAGATGACACAACAAAGGACCTCTTGAACAGGCATACAAGTCATGTGCCTTTTTTCAATCCTTATCAAAATAGGGATAGAAATGAGCTGCTGCATTCTCTAATTAAGCGTGAGAATTTTCATCAGGAACAAAAAAAGCCTGTCTCTGAGTTTCGTCCAACTAATATTTCCATGGAGCCTGCTGTTCAGTTCCCGAGCCATATGCATTTGCCGCCACCATTTGCATTGGATCATCATAGACAGAAAGCACAGAGTGAGCTATATATCCATGAGAACATTCAGGATAGCATTTACTCGGACAACAGTAGGTATTCTATTCCAGCGCCAGAAAACTTTTCATCCCTGAATGTGAGAGACTGGAATAATCCCCGTATTTCTAACCCTATTCAGCCTCAGTTGAGTTCTGGAGAATTGTTGAATCATAACTGGTTTCCTACCGAAAACAGAGCTCATGGTGGTTGGTCCACGTCGGGTGCTACGGTTTTTCCAACCCTCCCTACCCCAAGTCTTGGAAGTGTAAGCAGTTGTGACCAAAGCCTTTACAGTGTACTCTCACAGTGCAATATGCGTTCTCGGGGTCCGTACAACCCTGTGGGCTCTACCGAACAAATGATCCCACCAACGAATTACGGACAAGAGCTGGCTGGGGTAATACCCATGACAAGCAATACTTTGCCTCAAACAGTCTCTCCATTTGACTACTTGAGTGGTGGTGAAGCGTCCACTACCTTGAAGAATCCCAGCATGGGGTGGATGAGCTTGGGGAATCAACCTTCATCGTTACATGATCCTTCTGGAAAGCCATTCGTGAAATCTTGGAATCAATGAGTAGTCTCTATGGACTCCGTGTTGGGAATAGTAACCGAGCCTCCATGAAACTTGAAGTATGGAGGGGAGAGATGCATAAGTGGAGTTTTGGCCAAATCATGAGGAGAGATAGGATCGTAGGCACGTTGTACATACCTATACAACAGCTGAGACCCACACCATGTATATATAGCTAGTTGTTAGTAGTAGGAATGGGAACATCTTGGAATGCTAATTCATCCAAGGAAAATATGTTACAACAGGCGATTTCTTGTATTTTTATCCTGATTTCTATGTGGGAAATCTGGGTTCCTCATCTTTTTTATGGTTAGAGGTCTGTTCCGGCGTTGAGAGGTATTTTCGAGCCTAGATTTTGTGTACGAAGGTGGATATTGCTCTCCATGCATTTGTTGATCAATTCTGTAGTCTAAATTATGGCTTTTTACTTTTTAGTCACCAAAAATAAATTTCTAGCCTCTCCAGCTGATGTCCTTGATATGGTTTCCTGTTGCTGCTTTTTCTGTCGTTTGTGCCTTTGTTTTTATTACATACCAATTACCAAAGTACTAATATTAAATTAAAGGAGCTCAATAATTTCTTAATTTAAGCACTGTATACCAAGTCATCTTTTTTTTTTTTTTTTTTTTTTTTTTTTTTTTTGAGAAATATACCAAGGCATCTTGGAAGTTGGAGATATAAAAAACTTAAAAGTAGCCCTTAATATATAATAGAGGTAGTAATGCTAATCCATACTGAGGCCCTTGGTGCACCATTGGTGACAGCGTGGTGTCAATAACTCTGCTACTCCCTTTATACTCCCTCCAATACCTCCATCCCATATTCCCATTACAACCGCTATTTTTTTTTTTTTTTGGAGACCAAAATTTGCAAATTTAACCATTGTCATCTCCCTCCATTCTTTGTAAGTGCATTACTCCATTCTCGAAAGATTGTTACAATCGGTGATTTTATGCTGTAATTAAAAAAAATAAGATAGTGAAAACCAATGATTAGATGTTACATATATAAAGTATTATGGCATTAAGTCAACGGAAATAGGGATATGTGCATTGACATTAGATAAATTATTTTTATAAATAGGAATTGTTGCTTTCGAAGCTGGTAAATTATTTAATACCAGTAAATGAGAATAGTTGCATTAGAAGTAGAATAGTCTAAAAAAAATTATTTTTAATCTAATATATAATTGAGACGTAACCAACAAAAGAGAACGACCAATATAACAAACGTAACTACCTTTCGGGAACGAAGGGAGTACAATCTTTTATCATTATAAGCAAACTTTAAAACTTGTACGTCATTAAATACAACTGGTTATATGGTGGAATATATAATAAGATCTCACATAACTATATACGGAGTATTTTTTTTCTTAATAAATTAAATTTATGAATACTATCAAAAGTCAAAACGTAACAACTCATTTGAAACCAAGGACATACCATTTTAATTTATGTATTTAATGCTTTATGTAACCCTATCATTACCCAAACGGTCAAACGTAAAACACGTTTTATATCTTAAACACGTAAATTTATTCCCAACCTTAGAAAATACTCGTACAAAAAGTACAGGCAACTATAAAATTCTAACTACACTTAGGTCAAACAAATAAGGTTAGGAAGCTACAAGTTTCCTTGAACATTTTCCATATTAATTTCCTAACAAAAGGTTGTTGGCTTTACAACTTTACTCCATTGCATTGAAACACACTCAACCAATCATGTGAATCCCTCTGTAAGCTATTCCAGTATTTATTATTCACTCCTCTAACACATACCGCATTTATGATTTAGTGCCCTTTATCTCTAATTATTTGATGCTTCCAAAATTATTTTATTCTGGTGTTAATTAATCAACAAGATTAGCCAAACACGGTCTTACAATTGGCTTATAAATGGAGTACCGTATAATATTATAAAAATCATCAATAATAATGAAGTGCAAACTATTGTTAAACACATTGGAATTGACATAAACATGGTTCTCTCCAAATACGGAGTAATACAAATGATTTTGATTCGTGTAATGTACAACCTACGTCCAGACTTGATTGTCACGTTAGTAGTTCAATGGCACTATCAACGTGACTATAGTCTTTAACGGAGGGTGTACCCTGTGAATATTAACATATATAGCCTATATTTAGCTCAACCAAACAATTGGGTAATGAAAAAATTGACACATTATACAGATGCTCTATTGCCCTTGTAATGAATTGAATCTCCTCTAGCTTAATATACTCTTATCTACCGGACTTTTCCACCCACCAGGGTAGAAGTTTGGACCGAAAATGAATTTATGGTACAAAAACTATCATCTTGCACAGATAGCATTCAGCAGAACTTGGCCGAGCATCAAATCAACAAAATATTGGTGCCCGATATGTCCGTCTCTCCATTTCATTTTTGCTGGAAATCTTCCATAATGTACTCCGTCATTGCACCTATTGTCAAAATGCCACGCCCAGGTCATGTCGAAATCATCTACAACCCCAGTAATCAGACCGGCTGCCTTCAGTTTGTCTAGGAGGATGCCATTAAACACCTCCATTTTACTGGGATTGAATGAAAGAGTTCGTGCATATCCTCCTGTTGTGATTGTTGACCTGAAGACAAAATTCGATACAGCTAAACCCTTCTGCTTCACTCCTTCCATGATCTCTTTCCAGAATGAAGCTGCGTCTTCTGCCCCATGAATAAATCTCCTAACATTATGCCAATGAATTCCGTCATGTAAACCTGAATTCAAAATGATAGTGTCAGGTACAGCAGATCCATTGAAGAAGCTCTTCACCAAATCCCGGTATCCTTCATTTGCTAGTGAATTCAGGCCTTCATAGTTCTTGGTCATGTTCCAATGACCATTGAAGATGTTTGTAATTCTAACAGACTGTGACTCATTTTTCGGGTTTGTAAAAGTCTTGTCAAAACGCCTAGAGACTGCATCTAGTTCCTGATATGGAACATGAAGAAAGAAGAACAAAATGTTGCGAATTGTATCCACATGATTTGAATCGCCCCAAAAGAAAAGCCACCGATTGTCTAAGCAATTCCAGGCATCATCAGCAGAAAGTAATCTAAAGGAACAATGGGCAGAATAGACCCAACCATTACTCTCTAGCATCCCCAATGAGCCATTGCACCATGGGTTAGTACAAGGATAATCAGATTCCAAACACCTATATCGCCCATCATTGCTTATCTCACAAGCATCATTTCTACCATGCCTTGTCCATCTCCCCGTCCAAACATCTCTATTGAAATCAGACTTTCTACACAAATGCAATTCAGGCAAGATAGCTTCAGATTTAGTAAATGTCACAGGAATATTTCGAAGCTGTTGATCATATCCAAATCGAGCAGTTGAGAACTTTAGACCTTCAAAGTGCCGGAATAGTAGGATAATGGTGAGATTATAAGTTCCAGGAAAATCAGGATGAACTTGAAGAGTAAATGAGTAAGTCCCATTGCCCCAATCCTTGATGGGTGGCCGTGATTTCCATGATTCACCCGACAAATCAATCTCAAAATAATCATCTCCAACACAATGAAGATTTCCCAACTCATCCAATGCCTGAAAAACAACCTCATGTGCATTCCCAGTTGACAACACAATTTTCTTCCCATCATCAAACCCAACAAACCTAATATCAACCGTTTTTGAATCTTTACAAGCCTCACCCCCTGGTGCCAACCACCTAGACAACAGATTTGAGCTATAATTCTGCTCGAACTCAACTGACACCCAATCCAAACCATGACTCAAGTTCCTTGTTTCGCCCTTCGGATCAAATTCACCCGAAAATCGATCTGAATTCCCCTCTAATTGCCCCTCAGGCACACCAACACCATCACTATCAACATCATTATCACCACCATTTCTATAGTCTAACCCAGATGAAACATTGACATAACTTTGACTTGAATTAACCAAAACCTCATCTGGGTTTTCTATTCTAGGCAATAAAACATCACTATCATTGAAAAAACTAACATGGGTAGCATTAAATTCAGCATATGATGTAGAATTTTGAGAATTTTTAGGATTTGTATATTTTGTACTACTATCAAGTTTTTGAGAAAGAGTTTCTCTTGGATACCTCAAAAAATCAAACACAACAGACTGATCAATGCTCCAAACTAGCAACAATGCTAACAATGCTACAGAAACTAGAACCCCAACTCGGCGAGTTAGCCTGAGAATCGGCCACTGAGTTACCGAGTTAACCAACTTCTCCGGCATCATCATCATCTAAATAACTGCAAAATATGAAAAACAACAACACAGTATAAAAGACTGAGCCAACAAACAGACAGCAGAAAACCAAAGTAGTGTGCCAATCAAAGCATATATTTTTTTACCCAGAAATCTTTGGTGGTAATTATTAATTAATACCCAGAAGTTATTTAATGCTATTTTGTCCATAAAACATGGGTTTTTCTCGAAATTATAAATCATTCAACCTAACATAAAATTTTTTACTAAAATAAAAATAAAAATAAAAAGCTTAAACTTACTTGCATACTACAACAATGGAGATTTGCAGTAATGTACAGTATTACTGTTTATTCATACATGAGTAACAATGTAGAAATTTGCTCAACAAAAAATTTTAAAACTAAAAAAAATTATTTTGTAAGTAATTAAGTAACAAAAAATAAATTCCAAAGGAAGAGTATAAAATCGTGGAAAAGGAAATTTTGGGGAAATCAAAATAAAAAAATTAAAAAAAAAAAAAAAAGTAATGTGTTCTTTTACTGGAAATTTTATGAGGAGAGAGAAAGAAGTAATGATAAGAAGAGGATGGTGGGGTGATGGACTTAGGAATCCTAGAAATAAGGAATGAAAGAGTACAAGAGAAAAGGGTATAAACTAGAAGTCTAGAATAGACTTGTTTTATGATGAAATGGTTTTGTAGTGATAATGTTAAATTGTTATTAATTTATGTTTAATTATGAAATTTCCTTTTTGGTTCTTAATTGTTGTTTAATTTACTTCTGTCATGTGTTGGCAGATTGATTCAGAATTCGTTGCTAGATTTGTTTGATGTTTTCACATGACTTTATTAATTATTAATCATAAGGAGTGCTTATTAAAAATATTTTATCATTGAGTAAGCATATTAAGCTAAGATTAGACCCTTAAGTACGATTATTAAGTTTTAGATAATTTTTCCTCGATGCTATCTGTTAACAATATGAATCGTTTTCAGAAGGTTCATCCAAACATATGAAATTTAACTAAGAGAATTGCCGAAGAAAGTAGATCTATTTATGTATTTGAAAAGATAATAGTTGAAACTAATGAAGGAGCATAATAAGAAGGTATTGTATGAGACTGAACTAACAACAACAATTTAATAGCTTATGTGATTGACAATTTAATAACTTGTCTGAATAATTCGATAGCTTATATCAATAGTTTAATACTTCGTAGCTTATATCGATAGTTTAATAACTTATATGTAGACAA